ATGTCATTAGGATCTGCTGGAGGGGCTGAGCCTGCAGTGGAAAAGAGTTTTGCTTTCCCAAAGTCAAGGCCCCGGGAACTTGCTCCTAAAATGACCCTTTAAAAAATACCAAGTAATGCCACGAAGGAGTCGGTTCACTGCTGGAAATCACATTTCGCTTGGTGTCAGCAATTCAGAAGAGACCCGTCTGCAGGAAATTACGATGACAATTTCCTCTTTGAGTGAAGAGGAATTACAGCTGTAATTCCTCTTCGCTGTAATCGAGGAGGCAGCAAACGGCCTCCTCTCCCCGTACTTATATACCAATTGCTCTTAAAACTTGGAGCCATGTGCCCATACAGAGACGTCTCTATCCCATCCTGCTACCTAGAGTGCTGCTGCACTTACAGGCTGTCGGGAAAAACCTACCCAGAGGTGAAAACCAGCTACTTTTGTGCTAGTTTGTTGTCTCTAATGATGGATACGCACTTGTTATTTTTACACTGTAAATTTTCAGTGTGAGAAGGATGTCTTGCTGCATGTTGTAGAGTGTCTGGCATATTTGGCTCTCATTTTGTTGAGACTTTCAGTGTCGAATAAGGAAAATAGCATGAGAAGTTTGCAGTGGTGTTTCAGATGTTGGGCACAAGAGCCTTTTCTCCTGGAAGGGTGCGTGCCGAGGAGGGGCAGGCAAGAAGAAGTGGTATTGTGCAGGGGTAGAATGGTTCACTTTGGAAGACTAGGTGGTGTATATTTTGAAATAAACCTTTTCTGTAAGAGAGACATGGAGCAAAACTCAGGCCAGTTGCAAAAGGCTGCGGGTCTACAACTCTCAATGTGTTTGCAATGCTTTTAGGACCAAAACTGGTTCCTGCCCGTTGAAGGCTGGTATGGTTCATGCACTTATGAAGATAACCATTCATCGGACGAAAGAAATAAAAGCTTGGGTAGAGAATGTGCTCATGGGACGCTATTCCCAAGCCAAGTCTTGGTACGGTGACACCACGAGGCCAGGGTATCAGTCCAGGTCCACAGGATGACATTTCAGCAAAGATGGACCTAGCGCGTGTCTGAATTCAGGAGCTCTTCTGTAAAGTTTTGCCGTCGGACTGCTGGCTGAGAAGATCTTTCTCCATCACCAGCTGCCTTAGCAGTTGTCAGCATCTTCCTGCTCCTCCCAGCGCTGCTGCTGGAGCTGACGGGAGTTTGATTATGATTTAATCCAGGCTTTTAGAGGAGGGAAAAAAGAAAGTTTTGACAGTTCCATATATAGTCCTCTGACTCACAGATTTCATGTGTCAAGCACCGAAGATGGGTTAAGTAGAATTAAGTTCTGGATTTGTTATAAATAGGCATTAAGTAACATGAAATAATTTGCATGAAAATATGGGCCTGATTCTCTAGCTCACCCCAGAGATTTTCTTTGACGTCGATGGGACGCTCCCGGGTAGGTGAGCTCAGATCAGAGCCAGCCCGGCTCTGACCGTCCCCTGCAGCCACTGCTTAACTGGACCAAGTGAAAACGGGGAAATATGAAGAAACATTGCTGAAATCGGGAAGGGTTTACACTGGTTGCACAGATCAGAATTTGGCTCTTAAAATAGTACAAGCAGTTTTAATTACACCCCAAATCTGCGGCTGAAGGAATAATTTCTCTGTGTCAATCAGTGCTAAATGTACCTATTAAATCAGGGAAGATGGGTTAAGATTAAAATTGCATAAAAAGTCACTTTTCTTCTGTTTCTCCCAGAAGATGGAGATTCGCTGGATTCAGATGTTACAGACGATCTCATCCTGCTCTGATTGCGGCTCTGCTGAGCCACAGCTTAAAGGTCCATCCAGACAATGAAGTCACCCTCACCCAGGGCAAGTCTGACAATCAAGCATTGTTTGGGTGAAAACAGTCCCCTTTTTAGTAAAATAAGTGCTTCTGCAATGAATGTGACAGACACAGACTCTACCAAATCAAATCCCTCCTCAATGGTTTAATTTACTGACTTCTTCATTGCTGAACAATTGAGAATTGGTCCATGGAGAAGGAACACAAAAAAGGACAGACAATATGAGCTGTATTTTGAGGCTGGACTAGTCCAAGACAAGGGAAACCAGGCTTTTGAGCCACCCAGCATCATTGTTTCTGGAAAAATAACGTCCAGCCTGGCAGCTTTACCTTTATTCTGAAATGGAGGTTTGGCCCAATTTCTGCTGAGGGTGAGGAGAAGGGAACTGGAGAGAAGGGATCTGCAGTATGACACAGCCAGGGCCACCGAGACAGAGTGACATCCTCATCCCTGGAGAGGCTGTCGTTATTATCCCACGGAGCTGTCGATCATGCAGGAACAGCATGAAAAGCTCCGGGAGCTTCCCCCGGCCCCGGCGGGACCCTCAGGCTCCGGTGCCTTCCCGGCATCGCTCTGCCCTTGGTTGTGATTTTTCTTATCTAACGCCACATTCTGCTTTCTGCCATGAAAATCATTTCCAATTAAATGCATCCTCAGAGCCTATCTGGCTGTGAATTAGCCTGGAACTTGATGGCTGGCTCGTTAGCTCATCAAAGTCTCCGGGATAATGGGGAGGCGCAGCCTCGAGAGCGATGCGCTGTTTGGGGATTTTGCTCATCGCCTTCAACTTGCCGCAGCCCTGCAAACTGGGACGCGGATGCCCTTTGCTCACCTTCAGCGCTTTTCTACTCCCCTTCATCCCAGAGCTGAGTAAGCAACACCAGGGCTACAAAACACAGCCCCGCTGCAGCCTCCAGCGCTGTCTCGTGCTTCTGCCCTCCAGGGATCTCAGGGTTTGCCGAGTCCCTGGGAAGGAGCCGGCCACGTGCTCCAGCTTATGGAGAAGGGATTATCACGGCTCTTGTGACTCAGCCCACGGCTCCCGTGTTCTTCCCTGGATGGAAAGGAAAGAAGCCAGCGTGAATCCTCAATTTGTCCCCTCTATTGCCCGCCTAAATGGTCTCTGTCCCCAGGGACCTTCCCCAGGTTGGCAGTGCCAACCGTTGCTGCACCATGAGGGTGTCTGGATGCCGAGGGCTGTGGCAGTGATGTGGTGATTCCTGCCTCTCCACGAGCAAAACTGATAGAAACCAGGTGGGAAGCCCGGGGAGCTGGCTGCGGGGCTGAGAGGAGAGGGAGGGAAGGGCAGCTCTGTGGCCCCGGAGCACTGCTGGGGACGGTCAGGCACCCGGTGCTGCTCTCCGCTCAGAGCGAGAGGCTTTAAAGTCCCAGGTTATGGGATGATTCAAGCACTGCAAAGGGAAGCGAGATCCGATAAAATGAGGATTTCTGCTTGCCGTGGCCCTGCAGCCAGGGAGACATCAGAGCACACGCTTCAGGGCTGGTTTTGGGGCATGGAAACCCCTTTGGTCGGTGTAGCGTGGGCTCCCAGCACTCCCCACGGCCCCCGGCCACCCCCTAACTCCATCCTCCGTGGTGACGGTCCCCATGGAGAACCCATCCACACTCTGCGGTCAGGACACTGTCGTGGCAACCAGGCCAGTGCCTGTCCCATGGCACCTGGGGCAGTGCAGGGCACAGGACCCGGACCAGGACCAGCTCCCTGCCTGGATCTCACCTCTCCTGCGCTTCCCACTGGAAACAGAGGCTGTTCCTTGGGAATTCCCGACTGCTGCCGCAGTCACGTCCCCTGGCTGGAGAGGAACCGCAGCACCCTGTGGCGGGGTGAGCAGCATCGAGGGGGGAACAGGGCAGCCCGGGGGGATGCAGCGGAGCTGGGGGGAGATCTGCTTTGGGGGTGAGGGCTGCGGGGTCAGCCCTGTGCCCTCCCTGGCTGCAGCAGGATGGGGGTGAATCCAAGCGATATTCCCCATTTGCACTCCCCAGGGGCTCTGCCCGCTGGCACGGGGGGGCCTAGCCTCGCTGGGATTTCTATGGAAACCCAGGTACCGAACGGGGTGGAATAGCTCAAACCATCTGTTCTTCCCCTACTTATAAACTCGATAAGAGGAGCGTGTTTCGCGATGACATCACTACAAATGCTCTCCTTTTATTCATCGCACAGCCATCTGTGATGGTTTCCTCATGTGCCAAACACGCGAGCGGGTGCTGAGGGATGGGCAGGGGGATGCAACCACCCCCTTACCCGGGTTTTGTTTCTCCCCTCGGAAAGCAGACCTGGCCCCGCAGAGGCTCCCTCGTCCCCTTCCCAAGGCGTCCGCAGAGCAATCGGAGGAGTTAGCTGGAAGAAATGGGCTCAAAGGTAAAAACTGAAGCACAAACCAAAGCTGAACTTCTCCACAGGCACTACAGAGGATCTGCCGTGGGGAGAAATAAATGCTGTGGTGTGGTGAGCCGGACAGGCGGTGGGGAAACCAGGCTTTCATTGCCAGCAAGGTGGTGGGTTGTGGTGGGGCTGATTCTGCCTGCCCTCCTGTGCTGGGCAGGAGGCTGTGGCCCGAGATTTGGGTGTTGGGGGGAGGCAGAGTTGGAGAATATGGATCAGCTGAGGACACAGGTAGTGGTGGATCTTCTGCCGCAGCTTCAGTGCTTACCTGTTAGGCAGTTTCTCAGCTACAAGTCACCTTCCCACAGCCAGGGATGTGAGCACTCCTGCTCTGCTCCTGGGCAAGGTCAGCTGGGATCAGTCATGTCCCCAGCATGAGTGGGTTTGGTTCTGACTCACATGGTCCTCGTAGTCATGCTGGGTGATAAAAGAGGTGACAACCCGCCATCACCTGCCCTCCCCGCTGCTGGAGGTCTGCACCCCGTCCTGGAATCGAGGTGCTGGCTGTGGCTCAGCTGCTGTGGTCGTGGAGTTGCTTTGTGGGGCTTGTTTTTTGGGTGATAGTGAACATCTTAGGTGGCAGCGAAGAGCTGGAGGTGGTGACAGACAGCAGGAGGTGGTGATGCCATTAACCCGCTCCCCTGTGTCCAGCTCCCGCTGTCCACCACTGCTGGTCGTGTTTGCTCAAGTGACCAAATTCTCCTTCTCTGTGGCAGCGGGGAGGGCCCTCTTTGAGGCAGAAGCATCCAGACTTCTCTGTGAAGGACAAAGAAAAGCTGGCTGAAGCTGAGATCAGGACACTGCAGCAACAGTTTCGGACAGCAGCAGAGAAGAGGAAATCTTATGGTGTCAACGTGAGGCAGCAATTGCAGGCTCAGGAGTGAGTGCAGCTTTGCTCGGCTGCATTGTGCTTGGAAAGTTCCTCCACGCTGAGATCTGGGGACCCCGCTGCTGAGATGGGGAGGGGTGAGGACCTGCTCCGGCATTGCAGGTGGGATGTGCTAAATGTCATTTGTCGTTCCATTTTTACAGAAAAGAAATAAAGTCGCTGACTCAAGAACACAAAGAGGTGGTATTAACGCTGAGCCAGATGATGTCCCCAAGAAGAGTGATGCAGGATGACAGAAAATGTATGGAGCTCCAAAGCTGTTTGGAGAACAAATATCAGTACGATTCTCTGATAAGAGACAGAAAAGCCATGTTAGCTAAGCTGGACAACGAGGTAAGAGCATCTGGACCATTCCCTGGCTGAGCATGGTAGAGCAGAGCAGAGTCACAGAGTGAGCCCTGTGTGCGAAACTCCTCGGTATGAAACACATTTAATTCAGGCCTTGGGATATCATGCTGCCTCCTGGCAAAAGACACATGACAATGACAAACGGATAGAGCCAGGCTCCCCTTCAAGTCAGCAGCACTGGCTAGAAAAGTAAGGTCTGACTCTCAACCTTGTTGTCCCACCGGTCTCTGCGGCTCCGCTGTGATGGCACGCACCTGCCTGGGGTCACGCAGCATCCCTCTGCTTTTCCCTTGACTTTTTTTTTCTCCTGATTAAGAGGCAAAAATGAAACATTTAGTTGTGCTGCCTGAGACACGACAAAGAGAGGAGCAGCAACATCTGCGGGATGTTGCTGAGGACAGCCTGGTTGGATTTGATCAACCGTGGGGTGGGAAGCCCAGTGCTACAGCAGTGACATGTCCCTGCAGCTTTCTGCTCTGAACAAGCCGCCCATGACAGAAGTCAGGGAACATGCTCGGGTAGTTTTCGTTTGCTAAAGGTGCTGCAGAGCTTTCCACAAGAGGGTTAGCTTTCAACCAGGGATCTCTTGGCTGAGTCATACCTTTCCCACCGCCCCCCGGCTTCGTTGTTCTCCAACTGCTTCATTCTTCTTGTGGATTTATTTCCTCTGGCTGCTCCCCACTTCTGGCAAAAGTTTTCCTCCACTCATTCCCAAGGAGGACTGCACAGACCCCTGTCTGGTCGGCACAATACCACTACCGAAAAACCATCCTCATCACTTCCACTCCACGCAGACCGCTGCTGTGCCTTGCTCAACACCTGCTGAATTTCCCTGCAGAGGCAGCTGCATTTCCTTTGTGACACAAAAATAAACCCATTCCTAGTTACAGTTTATGTTTCTGCGTGTGCAGGATGGGATCCTTTGGGATTAAAGCTGCCTCTATAACTCTGAGCTCATTAATGACATGGTTGCTGTAGTTCAGGTCAACAGAGGGTATTTTCTTTGGCTAAGTGTCCTGACAAGAGTCCAGAATGTAGGGGTGGAGAAATAATTATATTTTTTCTTCTTTTTTTTTCTCCCTCTGTGTGTGCAGATACTAGAGCTGGAAAAAAAGATTCTGAGGCAAAACCAGATAGTAGCGAAGGTGGAGCAAGCAAATAGTAGCAAACGGCTGCAAAAGCAGATTGAGACACTGGAGATGCGTCTAAACAATGTAAGTAAACATTTATCAGACATTTGGAGACCATGCGCGGGGCCACGCTGGGACCTGTGCAGAATGCTTTTTGGTCAGGACAAAGGGTGATGGTGCAAATGCATTTAGTTGACACAAGCTGCATAAAGGACCTGGCTTGTTCCCCTGGCCTGATTGCTCCCGGAATATCTCAAAGGCTCCTTCAAGCTTGGTGACCCAAATGCAGCACTTGTGCCATGCCAAGAAGCCTGAAGGTCTGCACCTGTTTAGTGATAAAACTGAGCTGCCTGCAGCCACCTTGCCTTGGACAACGCCAGCTCCAGGTCTCTGTCATGATCGACCTGGCCTACTGCTGCCTCCCTTGACTTTGGGAGGAGGATGGTGCAGGGCCAACTTAAAATCTCTTGCGCTGTGTTTGTCCCAGCCTTGGTCAAGGTCTTTCGGCAGAGACCTGAGTCCCCCAGTCTGGCACCAGCCTCAAACCTTTTGCTTCCCTCTCCCCAGGTCACTGTCCATTTCGATACCATCTTGACCAGAAACAGCGAGCTCCGAGAAGAGATTGAAAGCCTGCGAATCCAGAAAGCTGCTTTGGACAACTCCTACTTGAAGCTCCGTAAGAAGCTAGATCAGCAGAGGAGAAGGATGAACACTGCCATTAAGCGATCCGCACAAGCCTACAAGCAGCGGTACATGGCCTTGCGAACCCTCTGTGACAAACTTGGCACCGACAGCAATGCCAGTGATGAGTATCGATGTAAAGACAGACCGACTGCAACTTCGGAGAGAGGATTCACCGCTCTTGTCTAGAGCTGGGTGCTAAGGGCTAGGTGCCTGGTCAGTGCAGGGAGGCTGGTACCTCCAGGGTGTGATTTACTCCACCTATCCCAGATGTTTTTCTGGGATGAGGTGAATTGCCCCATGGAGCAGTCTCTTTTCTCTGAGTCCCACCTGAGCCCGTATAGGGAGATGCAGCAGACCTGGAGCAGAGGCCAGCCAGCTCCGGTCACAGTGAGCCCGGCTGCCACAGTTGGGTGCTGTGTTTGAGTCCAAAGCCCCACCAAGAGCTATCTTAGCTTGCTGCTGGCCTTGGGCTAACACAGCTGCATCTGGATGAGAGCCGGGCAATGTGCACGGTATCACGGGGGCTTTCCTAGGACAGGCACGGACACTCATGGGAATGGCCAGGAATACAAGTCCTTATACATGGTGTAACCTACTGCTCTCTGTGGGCAGGATGGAGGTTCTGGCAAAGATTTCAGCCATGAAAGAAACGCACAGCAAAGACGTTGTCCAGTACAATGTCGAGCTGCAGGAGCGGGAGCGCGTCCTTCACCAGGAGAACAAACTGAAAGCCTTCGCAATCGCCAGATTTACAGATCGCTCTGAATTGGAGGAACAGGCCAAAAAGAAAAAAGGTACCAGATGACAGAAACCACGTGCAACTGGGACTGCAAACCAGGAGCCCAGGGTTGGCAAGGGGGCTGCTTATAGCACTGCACCCTAAAGGCAGGACCTCTCCCTGCCCACAGGCTCCTTCACCCACCCTTTGCCCTACAGAAGAAAAGGATGACCAGTGATAACTGAGTTAGGCCACCCAAAGCCATGTGTCTTGGGGTGTGCTTGGGGGAGAGGGAGGGATGGGGAGGCAGGGAGCTACCTGTATGTGCAACTATGGCTCCTTTTATCCTCCCAGGGAGGGATCCCACTGTGTTTGCCCCATTCCCATGCAGACCGTGAGCTCCCTGCTTAGTTTCTGGGTGAAAGAAAGACACCCTTGGCCCCTCCAGTGCTGCTCCCCCTGCCCCGAGCACCCTGCCCAACCCCAGAGCACCCACAGGGGAAGGCTCTGCAAAGGGCAGCCCACAGGGACATGCACAGTCCAGACTCTCCATCTCGCCCTCAGCCCTGAAGGCAGCCCAGCGAACGAAGCAGAGCCAAGGAGAGAGCTTCGGGAGCCGGGTGGTGGCTTACAACCGCCTGCTGGAACTGACAGAGGATGGGAACATTGATCATCTGCTGAATAGCTTCATTGAAAAGGAGGAAAAGAACTTTGCCTGCTTCAAGTACATCACTGAGCTGAACAATGAGATGGAGAAGATACAGTGGAAAATCAAGGACCTCCAGGTCTGTCCCAGGCTCTTCATGTCTCCCCTTCCTCAGCTGGTGCTTTTGGACTGGGGTGGGTTTTTACTCTCCCATGTATCCAGCATCACCACGCACACCAGAGCCCAGCTCACGGGTGGGATTAGGGGAATGCAAAGGGGTAGCCAGAAATATAACTCCAATAGGCAGAATGCTGTGTTCTCAGAGCTAAAACTGTCTCAATGCTGCCACCGTGTACCCAGCAAAAATATTGCAATATCCAGGAGAGGCCAAGAGCCACCTTGGCCACATGTGGGGCTGGCTGCAGTGAGAAGTGCTGCCTGCTGTGGGGTCATCACCTGCCCTCCTAGTCTGGGGACAGTGGTCTCTGGAGGGGTTAGGTGGGGTGTCCCTGCTCCCAGGGTGGAGGGATGGTCCCCAGCCTCTGCTAGGCACCTCTGGTGGGCATTCAGCCAGTACCCCCTCCATGTGCTTGTGTTTACACAGAATGAAATTACAGCCCTCGTGGCAGACCAGAAGTATGCAGAGAGCAACAGCCTTCATGACCTGAAGGAGCTGGAGGTATGGTGGACAGGATTTCCCTCTGTAAGGGCAGCAGACCCCTGACCGTCCTGGCACGTGTCCTAGGGAGTCTGGTTCTGGCCAACAACTGGAGATGTGGGCAGGAAAAGGCCCTGCATCAGCTTGTGGCAGCCTTGTGTCTCCTGAGAGATCCCAGTGCTTGGTGAGAGGGTGACTGCAGGGCTCCTGCCAGCCCTGGTCCTGGGGCTGCGGCACGGGGAGCTTGGGATCCCCTTCACAGAGCCTTTTCCCTGCAGGGATGAGAGCATCCCACAGCCTCTTCTGGGATGTCTCCAGTGTCCCAACTGGAACTGGCCAACACTGAGATGGGAGGGGGGGAGGACATGGGGCTGGTGTGACACCCAGCAAAACCTTTGCTGATAGGAAAGACTAATGCAAACTACTGAAAAAGCCAACTGGGAAAAAAACAGATGTGAAGAGAGCAACAAAGTCCTGGACCAGCTCAAATCCAACATGGAGACCGTGATCAAAGGAATCGACTGTGACGCTACAAAGACAACGAAGCAGCTTGGAGAAAATTGGCACATCACGGATCTGAACCTGATGCAGTTTTTGGGTGGGTCAGGGCTGCCCATCTTTCCTTGCCATGTGGCCTGGACCTTGTATGCCCCCCACCCCGTTGCACTGTGTTTTAATTTGAGCTGGGTTTTTTCCCCTTGCCCTGTCATGTGTGGGTGTCCCTAGTGTGAATTTGGGGTGCCAAATTCCCAGCAAAATCAGGAGCTCACTCGGCTGTATAAACACCCCAGTGGACACCCAAGCCCCCTTTTTGGCTCTGGGTATGGGACCCAGCCTAGGGTGGGGTGACAGGCTGCCTGATGGCACTGCCTCGGGGCAATCAATGGAGTCCCATCACTTGCTGGCATGGTTCCGTACCGCCCCGCGCTCAGCAAACAGCCAGGGGTGGGTTTGGGCAGGGGCCCGGTGCCTGGGCCCTGCAGGACAGCGCTCCCTCCTGCCCAGGTATCCTGGAGAAGATGACCACCGAG